ATCCTGGCCAACATGGCTGAAATCCCATCTCTATTAAAAAAACAAATTTAGTAGAGATGGGGTTTTAGCCATGTTGGCCAGGCTGTTCTTAAGCAGTGGTTTTTCATAGGCACTATAGCCCTGAACTCCTGGGCTTAAGCAATCCTCCCACCTCAGCTTCCTGAGTAGCTGGGACTATAGACATGGACAACTGTACCTGGTTCCTGCTCATTTTGTAAGTGTCTTTTGAAAAGCAGAAGTTTAAAAGAGTGAAGAAGTCCAATTTATGTTATTTCTTTAATGGTTCATTTTTCTGTGTCTTAGCTAAGAAATCTCTGCCTAACCCAAAGTCACAATGATTATTTTCGGCACATTTTCTATTAGTTTTATAAACTTTAACTCAGATTTAGGCCTATGATCCATTTCAAGTTAATTTTTGCTATACAGTGCAGTGTAACAGTTGAGGTTCATTGTTTTGCACATGGATATCCAATTGTTCCAGTATAATTTCTTGAAACAAACTGAGACCAATGGATTTTAGTAAAATAACAGAGGAAGTTCACTGATAAGGTTTCAGACACTATACTGCAACTAATCTTCAAGAAACTGCAACTACCTGAAAATGGTATTAAAATATCTTTCCCGGCCAAGTGCAGTGGCTCATGCTTGTATCCCAGCACTCTGGGAGGCCGAGGTGGGTGGATCACCTGAGGTCAGGAGTTTGAGACCAGCCGGGCCAATACAGAGAAACCTTACCTCTAATAAAAATACAAAAATTAGCTGGGCATGGTGGCATGTGCCTATAATCCCACCTACTGGGGAGGCTGAGGCAGGAGAATCGCTTGAACCTGGGAGGTGGAGGTTGCAGTGAGCCAAGATCACACCATTGCACTACAGCCTGGGCGATAAGAGTCAAACTCTATCTCAAAAAACAAAACAAAACAAAAAACTAAAATATCTTTCCCTTTCAAACTATATACTTGTGCCAGGTCAGATATTACTCATATATGTCAACCAAAATAACAAACCACAATAGATTGAGTGCAGAAGCAGACATGAGAATCCTCTGTCTTTTCTTAATCCAGACATTAAAGAGATTTGTAAAAATGTAATACAATGCTAGTCTTAATATTTTTTGAAAAATATACTTTTCATAAAAATATTATTTTCATTACTAATTATTTATAGTCTTTAGGTGAACTAAAGCATATTTAATTTTTTCTCAATTTCTATTATAAATACAGTGAATATCAATAGATATAAGCCACATAAACAAAAGCACTTTAGGGTCCTCATCAATTTTTTAGAGATTTAAAGATCCTGGGTCCAAAACCAAGCTGCCATCATCTCTCTCTTCAATTATTGAAATTATCCTTTTTATAGCCAGAGTAGCACATCTAAATGCATCTTCTTATAGCCAGAGTAATGCAAATCAGATCAGGCAAAACATATGTTTAAATCATTTCAGTGACTTACTATTCTTAGCATCAAGACTAAACTACATACTTTGGCCCACAAGACCTGAGTGAGTAAGCTTCCCCAGTCTTTTCTCACTTCATTCTCCCATTTCTCTTTATTCTCTGCAACAACAGTCTTGTTTTCAGTAAGGTCCTTAAATGCACTAAGCCTCATTGGCTCTTGGGGCCTTTGCACTGACTCTTCCTTAGGCCTGAAAAGTCCTCCTTCTCCTCCATTCCTTCTCCTATTATTGAGTTAATTTTTTCTCATCCTTCGGATCTTAAACATTGATTACCTGATCTTCTTTACCCCAACCTTCAGGTTAGACAGGGTCCTTCTTTTATATACTCTTACAGCTCCTTGTACATTTCCTTCCTAGAATTTACTGGCTTGGGAGATTACACTGTTAGAATTATGTGATTTAATAGCTTTCAATCATTTCACAAAATAGAAATATAATAAACATCTATATAAGTATGTGAACTATTAAATAAAATTTTGCCAAATACCCAAGATCAATAGTTCTCATCAGATTCCCAAAGGGATCCATGACCCCTGTGTAGTGAAGAATTAATCTTTACCAAACAGAGGTCTGGTCTTTGCTCTTGGCTACTGTAAAGTGGTCTCTAGGCCCCTGGAACTTCTTGTCTGGTAAGAGTTTCTCTGTTTGCCTGAGAGCTTTAGCTACTGGACAAATGTGATTCATGTTGGGGGCACTAAACCACACCTATAAGTTTCAACACCAGGAGGAAATAAGAGACTAGAGGTCAGCCATGTGAGCAGTATGTGACTGAACAGCAATGAATAAGCTGGACATCAAAGGTTCAGGTGAATTTCATGTTTGGTAATACTCTGTGTGTATTGTCACACACTGTAGCTGGGAGGCAGTAATGCCATCCATGACTCCATGAGGAGAAGATGACAGGAAGTTCCACAATTGGATCCTTCCCAGATTCAGCCCTACGTGTCTCTTCTGTTGGCTAATTTTAACTTGTGTCCTATCCCTGTAATAAACTGGGAGTATAATTGCTTTCAGCGAGTTCTAAGTCCCTTCCAGCAAGTTATCAAACCTAAGAGTGGTTGTGGGGACCTCTAAACATGAAACTGGTTTCTGAAGTAGGAGCAGCCTTTTAGGAATTACTGTTCCCTCAGACTCTGCAGACTGGCTAAACTAACTGCAATTCCAAAAAGGCAAAAACAAAAAACAATACACTAGACTACACACAAATTCTTCAATGGCAGAACCTTGTCAATATGATATGTAGTTAAAAATACAAGATATAGCCAAGCACAGTGACTCACATCTGTAATCCCAGCACTTTGGGAGGATGAGGATCACTTTAGCTGGGGAATTCGAGACCAGCCTGGGCAACATGGTGAAACCCCAACTCTACCAAAAAATACAAAAATTAGCCAAGTGTGGTTGTGTACCTGTAGTCCCACCTACTTGGGAGTTTGAGGTGGGAGGATAACTAGAGCCCAGAGGCAGAGGTTGCTGTGAGCTGAGATTGTGCCACGGAAGGAAGGAAGGAAGGAGGGAAGGAAGGAGGGAAGGAGGGAGGGAAGGAGGGAGGGAAGGAGGGAGGGAAGGAGGGAGGGAAGGAAGGAGGGAAGGAAGGAAGGAAGGAAGGGAGGGAGGGAGGGAGGGAGGCAGGGAGGGAGGCAGGGAGGGAGGAAAAAAGGCTGGGCATGGTGGCTCACACCTGTAATCCCAGTACTTTGGGAGGCCGAGGCAGGCAGATCATCTGAGATCAGGACTTCTAGACGAGCCTGACCAACCTGTCACCTCTACTAAAAATACAAAATTAGCCAGGTGTGGTGGTACATTCATGTAATTCCAGCTACTCAGGAGGCTGAGGCAGGAGAATTACTTGAACTGGGAGGTGGAGTTGCAGTGAGTCGAGATCTCACCACTGCACTCCAGCCTGAGTGACGGAGCAAAACTCCGTCTCAAAAAAAAAAAAAAAAGATATTTCACTTTGAAATAAATAGTCTCAGGATATCAATTACTCTCCAATAATACCAATAATGTTTGTGTTTATAACAATGATGATAAAAGCAATAACCATCACACCATCACTGCATGCCCTTACCACAGTATCCATTTACAGATAAGGAAATAACTAGTTCAGTATGATACCACTGGTGACAAAGACAGTATTCAAGACTTGATGTGGCTGTTAGAACCTACATGCTTTACTATATTATATTTCATAGTATAAGCAAAGGAAGTTTAATATTAAATTTTGTAAATGAAATGAAAATCTCCAGCTTTATGATCACTAAAATAGCATCATTAAAAATTAGCAACTCTTAGCACAGGTTAGGAATGTCGAAAACCTAAGTTCCCCTCTTTTAGCTAAAATTTAGTCATAAGCATTCCAACACTTATAGCCTATCTTTGAAATTCTTCTAAATAGATACGAATGACACAGGTTAAAAGCAGGCAAGCATTAATATAAAAACAAATTTGTTGTATATTACTATAAAATGCTAAACACAAATTCCAATACCTGAGGTAGATAAGATTCAACAAAGAAAACAATCACATATGGCACACTAATCTGTAAGCAATAAGCACCAAGCTCCTTCCTACATTTTTCTCTGCAATTTTCCAAATTATTCCTCTATAAGTTTCTCTCACATCCTAGAACTGACATCCTGGCCTCTAAGAAAGGCTGAGGTGGCTGGGCATGGTGGCTCATGGCTGTAATCTCAGCACTTTGGGAGGCAGAGACCGGTGGTTCACTTGAGGTCAGGAATTTGAGACCATCCTGGCCATCACGGTAAGAATCCATCTCTACTAAAAATACAAAAATTAGTTGGGCATGCTGGGGCATGCCTGTAATCCCAGCTACTTAGGAGGCTGTGGCAGGAGAATCGCTTGAACCTGGGAGGCAGAGGTTGTAGTGAGCCAAGATCGCACCACTGCACTCCAGCCTGGGCAACAGAGGGAGACTCCGTTTCAAAAAAAAAGAAAGGCTGAAGGGAACTGGAATCTGTTAATTCATGAAATACCAGCTAGACTGTCTCAAGATGAGTATTATAACCAAAGGTCTCAAAGGTTTTCTACCTAGAAACTAGAAACATTAATCAAGATATAAATAAAACAGTTATTAAAAAATATATAGATATATTTAGTAGTATAATTAACAGAGATAAAAGAGTAATCATTAAAAAAAATAAGAAAATATTCAGGCAACTGATTGTAATTAATTGATTATACTAATTGGCTTTATGTAGGTCCAGAGCAAATATTACATATTGAACAGCTATTTACTGAGATTACTTTAGTCACACTTCTACTAGATCTGAAAGCCAACAGTCAAGCTATACTATGTCTATTTTGGTAACCAATCATGATAAAAATGTCTTTAGAGTGGATCAGTCTGGATCTACATTAAAAACTAATCATTAAAGGAGTATTGAGTGATGGGAGACACAGGCAATATGAAGGAGAAAAGGTGAATATAAGTAAAGCATGGGAAAGGAGGAGGAACATACTAATGAATTAGACACACACACTAATGCCCACAAATAACCCACAGAGACAGAGAAAGTACCTGGAAAGCTGTGAGTGCGCCAGTCCCTGGGTTATACAGGCATCGCAGCGAAGGCATGCTGTCCGCCAGGCTGGAGCAGCCCAGCCACAGAGACCTGGGCATAGAGCACTGCAGAGAGAGGACAACTATGAGATGGGACAGTATGAGACAGGATGGCACAGATTACAGGAATTTTTAAGGCTTGGCTGAATGCAATATTCCAGTTGCAGCTGACCTTATGATAGAAACATCTTTAAGAAACACACTACTTAACTGGTTCTAACCCCAGAGAGAAACCCAAAAGGGGCAGTAGTGGCCAAAAAGCAAAGGGGAAAAAAAGAATTTATCGTTCAAAAAACCAATTAGTCAAAAAAAATTTGTCCCTATTCTTCTATGTATGAGTCTAAAGGAAATCTACTTCACAATCCAGTTGATCAATTATTTTCCTCTATGCACCTCAACTCAGCTCCCGTAAACTCACCACAGGGTGTAATGCTGTGTAGACTAAGCAGAAAGACAGGGAGTTCACAGAAGCATTACAATATTAGGAATGGTAAATTAGAAAACAAAGCACCACAGTTAGGTTGTTTTTATTTTTATTTTTTAGAAGGAAAAGAAAAAGTATTGTATCCCTACGGCTTTGACAGCAACAAACTCTGCACAGTTTGCATATGTTTTATGTATCTTGTTAGTCTGCTATTCATTAACCAAAATGCATAGTTACCATAGCAGCTGCCTCTTCATCTCCAGATGGATTAGGGGTGTGTGGGGGAAGTGTAAGGTGGAGAGAAGAAACAACCCAAACAGAAGGGAAAACAACAACAAAGGAAGAGAGACAGGGATAGAGGGAAAGGAGAAAGGAGAAGGGGGAAGGGGGAGAGGGGCAGAGTGGGAGAGGGAGAGAGGAGACCCAGAAAGCTGCTGGTATTAAAACCTTCTAAACAAAAAAACCAACAAACAAAAATACCTAAGAATGTACATATACATATGGTGTATTCAGTAGCCAAAAAAGGTAGAAATTACAATTTCTAGTAGCTCTAAGTAAATAATACTAGTATTACTGCACCTATAGCTTTATAAGAAACTATACCTTTCAAAACTATTTTTACATTCTTCATGTTTCTCTAAACATATCCCAGGCTGAAGTTTCATCCATCAACTTAAGTGCTATTACAGTCTAATAATAACAACTAAAAAACTAAATACCTAATTGTGGCACATATAAAAACAGGGATACATCTTTTAAAATATAGTAGTCAATATAGATAACATTAAACTTTAAATTACAGACTTCAGAATATTTTATATTGTCATAGACTTTTTTTCTCCTTAAAACAATATAGTTGTAGAACTATTGGGAAGCAAAATACGGTATTCACTGTTTACACCATCTAAGATTGATAAAAGGACAATGAGAGCCATGCAAGGGGTTTGTGTCTGTGGTCCAAGCTACTCAGGAGACTGAGATGGATGGATTGCTTGAGCCCAGGAGTTCAAATCCAGCCTGAGCAGCACAGCAAGATCCTGAGAGAGAAAAAAAAGAGAGAAAGCGAGAGAGAGGAAGGGAGGAAGGGAGGCAGGAAGGGAGGAAGGGAGGAAGGGAGGCAGGGAGGGAGGGAGGGAGCGAGGGAAGAAGGAAGGAAGGAAGGAAGAAAAGAAGGGAGGGAGGGGAAGGAAATGGGTTGTAAATAAATCCAAAGGAGATCTGATCTGGACCCCCTACTTTTATATCATTATCCTCATTTTATTTACCACCCATAGGACTATGCTTAATACATTATCCTCATTTTATAGTTAAGGTGACTAATGCCCAGGAAAAATTAAGTATTTATCCATGATCATGAATTTACAAAGTAGGGAAGTAGGGACTAGAGTCTTGGCCTGTTGCTTTCTAGTGCAGAACTCTCCCTCCTGTCTCCATCCATCCCTCACTCATAGACACTGGACTTCAAAAGAAGACTATCTACTAAAGGCATCATCACAGGATAACATGCCAAGCAAAACAGCTAAACTGCTCTGAATTACTCCAACAATCTCCCAACTTTGTTTGCTGTTTCCAACGTTTCTTCACCTCGAGCTACAATCCATTTTATAAATAGCAGCTAAACAGAATAAATAATTGTCGTCACTTTGTTATCATGTCACTGTCATCAATAATTCATAAGGGCTCCTTATATCTACTATATGAAATCCAAGCACTCTATCAATCTGGCATTTCCCCACCTGCAACATCAACTCACCTTCTCTGATCTTCCAACTGGCCCTGACACTCTAGCTAACTACCTACCTTGGTATGTTGTTTAAATACTCATCCTACCCCTATGTCTTTAAACCTATAATTTCCTTCTCCCTCTCACCCTGTCAATCCACATCTACCATTTACATCTATATCTCCTTAGAATTATGTATACTAATTTCACTCTCTGCCAGTCATTCTTAATAGCAGAGATTCTCACATTGGAAGGAAAAGGCAACAGAAAGAGAATCCAGAAAACAGGGTAAAAAAAAGCTTCCTTCCCATTGAGAATCACATTCTACTCATATTACTGCTCTACAATATAAGTATTAAAAATGCTTTGGGCTGGGAGCAGGCTCACACCTGTAATCCCAGCACTTTGGGAGGCCGAGGCAGGTAGATCCCCTGAGGTCGGGAGTTCGAGACCAGCCTGAACAACATGAAGAAATCCTTTCTCTACTAAAAATACAAAATTAACTGGGAGTGGTTGCGCATGCCTGTAATCCCAACTACTCCAGAGGCTGAGGCAGGAGAATCACTTGAACCCGAGACGGAGGTTGCAATGAGCCAAGATCACACCACTGCACTCCAGCCTGGGCAACAAGAGTGAAACTCCGCCTCAAAAAAAAATGCTTTGCTAGAATAGTTTTTAATATTGTAATCATTTATTCAACAAACCTTATGCCTTTCTTGTAGTAGACACTGACTGAGCCAGATGTGTTGGCTCAATCCCGTAATCCCAGCACTTTGGGAGGGCGAGGCTAGTGGATCCCTTGAGCCTAGAAGTTCAAGACCAGCCTCAGCAACATGGGAGACCCCATCTCTATAAAAAACAAAAAATAAAAAAAAAGCTGGGCATGGTGGCATAGGCCTGTGGTTCCAGCTACTTGGGGAGGCTGAGATGGGAGGACTGCTTGAGCCAGGGAGATCAGGGCAGCAATGATCAGTGATTATGCCACTGCACTCCAGCCTGGGCAACAAAGCAAGACCCTGTGACAGGACAGGACAGGACAGAGGGGAGGGAAGGGTAGGGAAGGGGAGGGGGAGATGGGGGAGAAGAGATAGGGGAGGGGAGAACAGAGGAAAGGGAAACAGAGAAGAAAGAAAGAGAGAAAAAAAGAAAGAGACAGTGAAAGGGGAGGGGAGAAGAGGGGAGGGGAGGGGAGGAGAGGGGAGCAGAGGGGAGGGGAGGGGAAGGGAGGGGAGGGGAGGGGAAGGGAGGAGAGGGGAGGGGAGGAGAGGGGAGGGGAGAAGGGAGGGGAGGGGAGCGGAAGAGAGAAGAGGAGAGGAGGTGGGGGAGAGGAGGAGAGGAGATACTGTCCTGGGCACTAGGGCTAGAACAATGGACAAAAAACCCACAAAAATCTCTGTCTTTGTGGAACTTATATTCTAGTGACTTTCTCTCAGCCTTAACTTTTACATTAAAAATCCTTGGCCAGGCGTGGCTCATGCCTGTAATCCTAGCACTTTGGGAGGCCGAGGCAGGCAGATCATTTGAGGTCAGGAGTCCAAAACCACGCTGGCCAACATTAGCTGGACATTGTGGCGGGCGCTTGTAATCCCAACTACTTAGGAGGCTGAGGCAGGAGAACTGCCTGAACATGGGAGGCGGAGGTTGCAGTAAGCCTAGATTGCGACACTGCACTCCTGGGTGATAGAGTGAGACTCTGTCTTTAAAAAAAAAATTCTTAACATGAAAGTAACTCATTGTTATAAGAAACGCTGTACATATACAGTTGGTTAAGGTTCTGTGTATGCTGGGTAGAAAAAAGGCTCACAGTCATTTGGAAGGAAAGATTGAGTCTGAGAAAAACAAGAGAAATCAGAAGCGGGAGTAAATAAAAAGAGCAAGAAAACACAGGAAAAAGAGAAAGGAAATAGTGGAAGAAAATGGAAGAGGCACAGGAAGATAGCTTGTCACTTCTCCTGCTTCTCTCACAAGAGGGCAAGCAGCACATATATTTTTAACCATACTAAAGCCACCTGCATGACATACAGCAAGCACAGCTGGGTCTAGAAACCAACCAGAAAGCTTTCAGTCACAGACATGGGGCTCTTTTATAAATTAAAATATACATATTTATTTCTTTTTGTGAACATTATTTGGTAAGTTTTTAAGGACTTCCTGTTGTGAATGATTTATCTCCTCCATTTTATATAAAATTTGCATTATGGCCGGGCGCGGTGGCTCACGCCCATAATCCCAGCACTTTGGGAGGCCGAGGAGGGTGGATCATGAGGTCAAGATATCAAGACCATCCTGGTCAACATGGTGAAACCCCGTCTCTACTAAAAATACAAAACATTAGCTGGGCATGGTGGTGCGTGCCTGTAATCCCAGCTACTTGGGAGGCTGAGGCAGGAGAATTGCCTAAACCCAGGAGGCGGAGGTTTCGATGAGCCGAGATCACACCATTGCACTCCAGCCTGGGTAATAAGAGCGAAACTCCGTCTCAAAAAAAAAAAAAAATTTTGCATTATTTTTGTAGTATGCACTTGACAAATTATTATCTGAGTTTACTTACTGTTACTTATTCTAACACTCTTCCTCATTCATTTATCCCTATTCTCCATCAAAACTACTAACAACTAAGAAGTTGAAAGGGCTTACCCCATCCCCTTAAACTAAAATTTCAAAAGAAAATTATAATCGATAATAAGCCACATACACCCAGGAAAGCCACTAGATATACTGGTGTGATTTCCAAAATAGCATTAACTTTCAAACACCACACAGAGGATGCATTCCCGATTATTACACGACAATTGGTGTGGGTATGAAAACTGCACTTGAATATAGTCAGATCTGCACATTACCATAAGATTTTATATATTATGGCTCAATTTAAAAACTAATTTTCAAATTGGTTTGTATTGTAACAATTAATCTTAT